CACCATTTATTAAAGAGGCTATCTTTCCTCCACTGGGGATGGTCAGGTCAGCTCCTTTGTCAAAAACGAGGTAGCTGAGTACATCTGGAGTTGTTTTTGTGTCTTCCAGTCTGTTCCACTGATCCTCAGGTCTGTTTCTTTGCCTGTACCATGCTGTTTTTATCACAGTGGCTTTGTAGTGTAGTTTCAAATTGGGAATTGTTATACCCGCTGCCATGTGCCTAGGATGGCTTTTGCTATTCTACGTCTCTTATGGTTCCAAATGAATTTTTGGATTCTTTTTTTCTAGTTCAGTGAAATATAGTGTTGGAATTTCAATTGGCATTGCATTGAGAGCAGGTGATCTTTCCATTTTCTTATATCCTCTTCGATCTCTTTTTTCAGAGTGCTGTAGTTTTCGGTGTAGAGTTCTTTTGTTAGGTTGATTTCTAGATACTTCATTTTTTTGGATGCTATTGTGAAAGAAATTGTTTCCCTAATTTCTCTCTCAGTGAGTTTGTTATTTGTGTACAAGAAGGCTATTGATTTTTGGGTGTTGACCTTGTATCCTGCTACTCTGCTAAAAGTGTCAATTAAGTCTAGAAGTCTTTTGGTAGAGATTTTTTGGTCTTCAATGTAGCGTATCATATCGTCAGCAAATAATGACAGTTTAACTGATTCCTTTCCTATCTTTATTGCTTTAATTTCTTTTTCTTGTTTTATTGCTATAGCTAATGTTTCCAGAGCTATATTGAAGAGGAGTGGTGATAGTGGGTTATGTTTATAGCAGCATAGTTTGTAATAGCTAAAATTTGGAAGCAGCCCATTTGCCCATCAGTTGGAAACTGGATAAAGAAGATGTGGTTTTTCTATAAAATGGAATACTACTCAGCCATAAAGAATGAGAAATTAGAGTTATTCATAGGAAAATGGATACATTTTGAGGATATACTCCTAAGTGAAATAAATAAGTCACACATGTGTAAATAACTCTGGTGTGAAAAACTATAATAGTACTCAAGATCCTAATGGGATAATTAACAATGTGAATTAAGAAGAAAAGGGCTAAAGGTGTAGGGAAAGTGGGAAAGGTAGGTGAAGGGAAAAGAAAAAAGTATGAGAAAATGAAAAAATGGAACTAAAGTGTTTGTAAATGGGGAGTGGAGGAGGGGGTGAAGGCAGGGTAGGGGGACAAGGGGAAAAAATGAGAAGCAAGACCTGTCATGTAAAGGCACAAGATCCCAATAATGAATGTAACTGTACTGTATAGCTAGAAAGTACCAATAAACTCAATAAAAAAAAGATATATCATGTACAGGTACAAATTCTCTGTGATGAATGTTATTATTACATATATCTAAAATGTACCAAAAAATGTTTTGCTAAAAATGTTAAAATAATAATTAAGAAGGTTGTAATTCTGTATTAACCTCTAAGAAAATTTTACCTGTATTTGTATACTTACCTAAGTTAGCATAAGTGACTATTCTGCAGTGCTACGATACTTAATGTATACCTCACATGCTGTAAGTCGTAGAATCTCATGGAACAATGCAAATCTCATGGAACATGTTCAAGAGAGTATGTACTTTTTGTATAATAATTATATAGTAAAAGGTGAGTAGATATCATATGATGATACATTGTTCTTTTAATTCTTGGAAGTTTAAGGAATTGCTTCTCTTTTACATTTGTGAGATTTATAACTCTACTTTTATCTGATACGTATTATGTGTGTGTATATACATATATATGTATATATATGTATGTGTATATATACACACACACATACACGTGCCCCTTATGTGGTTGTATATATGTTTATGCACCTATTTATATGTATTTTTTGTTTGTTTGTTTTGAGACGAACTCACTATGTAGTTGAGACTGACCTGGAATTCACTATGCAGCCCAGGCTGTTCTCGAACTCACAGCGATCCTCCTGCCTCAGACTCCTGAGTGCTGGGATTACAGGCGTGCGCCACCACTCCCGGCTTGTATATGTGTTTATATGTGTGTATAGTCTAGCAAAATATTTATGTGATTAAACCACTGTACTATTTATCCTTATTTTTCTCTGTTCAAGTTTTGACTATCCTCCTTAAAGCTCTCTTGACAGAATGTTTGTTTTTTTCTTTGTTCTGTTTTTGTTTTTGTTGTTTCCTTATGTTAGGGATTGAACACAGGGCATGATGGGCAAGTTATCTACCACAAAGTCATAACCTGAGCTTTGAAATATTTGTGAGAGGTACCTTAAAGTATTTAGGGAAGTTACTTTTTATCTGCAGTTTACTTTAAAAAGGTTCAGCAACAAATTAAAAAATTGATTAAGTATGGTATTGATGTGAATACTGTGTGTGTGTGCGTGCATGTGCATGTGTGTGTGTGTAGGGAGAAAATGAGAGCACTCATTAAAGCAAGGGTGACAGATATTAAAAATGAATGACTTTTGCCAAAAACAATGCAACGATTTATTGTATTGACTTTTTAGCTTTTGTATACATGTGGAAATTTTCAATGTAAAATTTAAAAGGAAGAAGAAAAGTTTTGCAATAACAGTTCTGCTGCGCTTATACCAAAAGCAGGCCCGGTTTTACTAACAATAGTTGTCTTCTGTAGGAAACAGTTAACTATGATCTTTTCAATGTAACTGGGTGTTTTGGGGCCTAACCTTATGCCCACTGATCTCCTGTTCATTGTGGCTTTACTAATTGTGAAATCAAATTTCTGTAGGAAAAAAAGGCAAAAACCCATAATGATGACATTTCAGAGAAACGTACACTTACTGCTGGTGCCATCAAAATGGAGAAAATATGTGGACAGCAAAGTGGCATAATATATCAAAAGACCTAAAACTGTTTATATCTTTTAGTCTAATAATTTAACTTCTCAAAATAGATCCTACAGAAGCAATTTAAAAAAATTAAATCAGATCTCAAGATAATGGTTCATCATATATTATTTAGTTCTGGGTTGAAATCAAAAACAAAAATTATCCCACAAATCTGTGAAAAACTATTTTTTAAAAAATAATCTTCTAATATTAATAGAAAGTAACCCTTTGTACTCCTTTGGAATTGTAAATTTTCTGTTTTCTGACATTTCTTCCTTTTTGTTATCATCTTGCCTGTTAAATATAGGTGATACCCAATTATCTGCTTTTGACCAACATCTCTCTTCTCTTGGTTGATGATTTTAATTGAACTCTTAGCTTCTACCTTTGTTTATATTTGATACTCTCTGAAATGTAAAATTCAATTCCTACTCTTTCCAGAGCTTCATTTGTGTTGCCTACATTCCTAACTACTCACTTTTATTCTTTTGAATGTACTGTTTTACGCTCCAACTCTCTATTCAAAACAATCTATGTATTTTCCCTCCTAAAGATATCCTTCTTAAAAAAAAAAGATATCCTTCTATAGTCCATAGTTTCTCTGTCATTCCATCTAGAAATCTTTAGTCTACCTGCAATACTCTGCAGCAATTTAGAGTATATTTCATCAAATGTATGTGATTGCCATAATTCTGTTTTTTAAAAAAGATATTTGCAACAGGGCCTTAATTGAATTCCTTGCACTCTGTCTCTCTCAAATGAATCTCATCAGATAATTCCTGAAGGTCAGATCAGATCATATTTTGTAGATTAAGAACCCTTTTTTTATATATTCATAGTCCTCATTTAACGACTTACCTGTTTAATGACTGTTTGGACTTACCATCAAGGTACACTGTTCAGGCTTACAACCTGTCCTTTTACACACACACACACACACACACACACACACAGTTCTGTATATCTTGCTTATAAAGCCTCGATGTCTTTTTTTTTTTTTTTGGACAATATATTTTGTTTATACTGTATGGTAACTTGTATTATACAGTATAGTACTACAGTTTTTTGTTCTGTTATACATTATAGTACTGCATGTAAGAATTGTGCAATTAAAAGCAAAGTCATCAAGTCGAAGTTTCCTTTGGCCATTTGTTCTGAATATTGTATGTTTCTTCATTTAGCATTTAGTGACCAATTCAGTTAATGACCTAGTTACAGGACTAGAAGATAGTTGTTAAAGAAGAGTGTCTGTACAAAGAAACCTTAAACTACTTTATCTGGTCTTTTGGGACCCCTGCTATAGAGCTTCAATTTTATTTCCTTCCTTCAAATCGTTTTTTTCTCCTTTCTACATTTCCCTCTTTCTGAGCCTTTAGTCATTTTGTGAACTTTACCTAAAAATTTACCTGTTTTTCCATATTCTTATCTATCTTTCAAGAACTGGCTTCAAATTACTTTACAGATGGAAGTAATACTTTTTTACTGGAAACTCCCAGAGGCATTTTCTGTTTTGTCATTGTTCTTCGTATCCTTTCCAGTGTACTGCTGTCATTTATGTATTACTGACGGTTATTTATGTTAATGGTGGTTGCTATCTTAGTTAAGTTCTTTACCATCTGGATTCATGTCTCATTTTCCTATTTCCTGTGTATGTCACCTGGTACCTAGATTGTTCCTTAGACATATGTATAAGTAAAAATTATATACAAAGAATTGTTTTGTTTTGAAGGTATTTCTTAGTCAAGAAAAGGAACAAAATCTTAAAGATACTTATTCTAAAAACAAAAAGATCATACATTTTGCAGGATTTACAAAAATATCCTTAAAAATAATTTTGTTAAAAAAAGTATGAAGTTTGTAAAATACATAAATAAGATCTTGGGTCACAGTCTCAAACAGATTAAACCTAACTTTCAAAGCTATCTAGAAGATCGACCTAACAGTATGTTCATTTAAGCAGTATTCATATAAGACAAAAAGAAATACGTTTTTCTTCAGTTATTTTACTATATATAGCTCACATTTTATGTACTCCTCATTTACCTCTTGGTAACTTAGGTTTTTTTGTGGTGGGACTTGATTCTTAAATGGTTCCTTTTTGAACTTTTGCTGATAATATGTTTTATTTTTCTTTGTACTCCTGTTTGTGCTGCTAAAACTTACAGTTAAAAAATGTTTTGTTTTGCAGGTATCCTGGTCAGATATAGGAGGACTGGAGAATATCAAACTGAAATTGAAACAGGCTGTGGAATGGCCCTTGAAACATCCAGAGTCTTTCATCCGAATGGGTATTCAGCCACCTAGAGGAGTTCTTCTGTATGGACCACCTGGATGCTCTAAAACAATGATAGCAAAGGCCTTGGCCAGTGAGAGTGGACTGAATTTTCTATCTATAAAGGTTAGGTGTTAACTTTGTGAATGGTTGCTCTGGAACTACTACTCTTAGGAAAGCATGTAAATGCATCTCTAAAGGAGCAGTTGATTTCCCTACGCTCCCTCTCCCCCTCCCTCCCTTCCTTCCTTCTTTCCTTGGTGCTAAGGATTGAACCCAAGGAGTGCTGAGCTATATTCTCATTTAAGCCCTCCTCCATTTTAAATTTTTAAATTTTTCTGAGACAAGATTGCTAGGTTATCCAGGTTGGTCTCAAACTTGTGATCTTCCTGCTTCATCGTCTTGAGTAGCTAGGAATACAGGCATGTACCACTGTGCCTTGCAAGAACAGTTGATTTTTGTTTTTTAATGTGAAGTGGATGACAGTATAGTATGGGGATGTGAGATATGAGAAATAAATTAGTGCATGTGATTAGTGGATCATAGTAGAAAATGAGAAGACTATTTTCTTTTTATGTTTCTTTATTGTGGAAAAATTCCCTAACACTTTTTACAATGTTAAATATATATATTTGGTACCGAGGATTGACCTCAGGACCTTGTGCTTGCAAAGCAGGCAGCAGAACCACTGAGCTAAATTCCTGGCCCCAATGTTAATTACTTTTAATCCCTAAGATAAAGAATTTTGGTAGAAGGCTAAACATTTCTTTTTCTAAGTTTATGAAAGAACTCTGGTGCTTCTGCTTTGCATTTTTTTTTCCTAAAAAATAATTTAAAAGATACATATATATTTCCAGCTTCACCTCTAGTATGTGTATGTATGTGTGTTTTGTGCAGATTGCAGAACTTGACTGTCTTAGTAACATTTCTCTCTTTGCTGAGACAGAATACCTGCCACCCAAAGTTAAAGGGAAAGGTTTATATAGCTCACAGTTTGTAGAGGTTTCAGTCCATAATCATCTGGCTCCAAGGCAGGGTGGCATGGCAGGCTGGTGTTGCAGAGGAGAAATAGTTCATGGTGAGCAGAAGATAGCAAAGCAACAGAGTGGGCAAGACAAGCCTCTTTCTGTCTTTTATATTGTATCCAGGTTACAGGGATTAGGGTGGTTCCAAACCAGTAAGTGGACTGATTTAGTAATGACACACACTTAGTCCCACCATTTAGACACTTTAGATTCAGCCACCTCTGCAAAAGCCCCACTTCTTTTTTGTTTTTGTTTTTGTTTTTTTTTTTATAACTGCCTGAGGCTTTGTAGGAACATCTAGATGTAAACCATAACATGACATATGCTTAAGTTTAGATTGTCATCTAGGTCAGTTACATTAAAATATTTTCCAGTTGAAATTTCCTCCCTTCTCTCTTTTGTCTTTTAAATTGCCTTTGAGTAGCTGGACTGCTTTACTCTCTGAAGAACTGTCAGTGATTTTGGAAGAGTTAGGCCTATACCAGTGATTTTCTGCAAGTCCTTTATTACTGGTATTTGATGAGTAAAAGAATATAATAGATTTAGGGTTGTCTTAGTTTCTTTTCTTGTTCCTAGGACAAGATTCCTGGCACCCAAAGTTAAAGGGGGAAGGTTTATTTAGCTCACAGTCATAGAGGTTTCAGTCCATAATTGGCTGACTTCAAGATTGAGTGACACATGGCAAAGGGGTAACAGTTCATGGTGGCAGAGAACAGCAGAAGGTACAAGGAACCTTAACAGTGTCTTCCTGCCCCTTTTATCTTATTTAGATTACCTATATGTAGCACTCAAATCTTTAATCCTAGAGCCCCCGAGCCTTGCATTGCACTGTGAATCAATCACACACTCTACATTTTCGCCATCTCTACAAAAGCCCCATCTAAAATTTCATGAGACGTAGGAGGTACATCTAGATACAAGCCATAACAGATGTTATCCTTGACTTAAATTTTTCTCCTTTATACTTGTCTCAGGACCTATGCAGAAATGTGACATTTTCATGAAAAGTTGTAATTTATTCAAAATAGTACACAGTTCAAAGATATTATTTTTTAGATCCACTATTCTTTTGTCAAAGGTACAAGGTATTCTGAACTTGTGAAGCTTCAGGGTCATCTTTAGGCTTCTGTTTTTAAGTTATGTAAATCACTGAGTTTCCATGTTGCAGAAACTGCATGAAAAACTATATAGGCACCTCTTACATTCAGAATGATTTAAGATGAGTTTCTAGGATTACATATAAGGATATTGAGGTTCAGTGACTTTTCTAAGGTTGGAATAGTGGTGATGAAACTGAAGTTTGGCTCTTTACTATATTATATACTGTTACATTTTCCTTTGATTAATTTTTTATATTTAGTAGAAAACCTAATATCCAGTGTTGTTTTTCATTAATTGAACTAAGTTACTGAGGGGTAATTTAGTGGAAAGATGCTTCTAAGAACCAGTTAGAAATATAATTTTGTTTTTCTAAGACAAACAAAAATAGCATGGTTTTGGTGAAATTGAGTTCATAAGAAAGAGTAATAATCACTGCCAAAGAAACAGGAAATTAATGGATGAAATACAAGTGCCTGGGAATACTCGTTGAATGATGTGGTGCTTGAAATGTCCCTGTTAGTGTATAATTTGTGCCTTTGAGATTGTCACAATAAAAATCCTGACCTAGGATTCAGATAACTTTGTTTTGCTTCCTAACTCTTAACACTTTTCACCATAAAACAAATTCTCTATGTCTATTATTATATATGTAATAGGATATAAAATGACCAGTACTCCTCAAAACTGTCAAGATTATCAAAACAAAGGAGAGTCTGAGAAATTTTTGCAGCCAAGTGGATCCCAAGGAGACACAGTAACTAAATGTAAAGTTGAGATATCTTAGATGGGATCCTGGAGCAAGAACCAAAAAAGACGTTAGATAAAACAGAAGAAATCTGAATAAAACATGGTATTTAGTTAAAAGTAATGTATCAGTCTTGATGCATTAATTGTAACAGTGTAGTTTATTCATTGTAATAATAGGGGAAATTGAGCTTATGGAAGTGGGAGGTTGGAATATTGTAACTGTTGCAACTGCTCAGTTTTATACATCTTATAAATCCTTAATTAAATAAAAGTTTGAGATCAGTATCATAGATCTAAGTAGATATTCAGTGAAGTAAGTGAGTTAAAAAAGGCCAACTCAAGAGTTCTGAACTGCACTAAACAGCATGAGTGGATTGCAAGGAGGGAGAATCATGGGGGGAAAATTGTGATTTGGGGGCTTTAGAGGAAGGAGAGCTCTCCTTTTCATTTCTCTGTCCATAATGATGTTGGAGAGTTACTGAGAAATGCCTTAAGAAGAACTTAGGCACAAGTTTGGGGCTAACTCTGGATGTGTCTGTAGCTCTCAGTTGAATCCTATAAAGATGTGTGTTAGTTCTGATCCCTTACCCCAACACTATAAACTGTTTCTTTCAGTGTTTTGGCTACTTTTTCTTTCACATTGGGTGAAGCTTCTAATTTGGAGTCTTACCAGGAATTATGTCCAGTTTCAGGACTTGTGGATCCTAAATCTACACTTTTCTTTCTGTAGATTTATTACCATTTGGGTTCATCTAGAGTCTGGAATCTTTTGGATTTCTATTTAATTTCCTTTAGGTTTTTGTTTTAACTTTGAAAATTGTTTTATATGTCTCATGCACTTAAATTGCTAGTTACAAGCATCAGTGACAAATAAAAATATCTACTCAATTTTATCACTGTTTGAATGGCTATCAGAAATAACTAATAGTCTCATGATTTTGGGGACAAATGGAACAGTTAATGACTCCTGGTCAGTTTCACAAGTTATTTAAAAGTTAGATTGGACTTACTTAAATTTGGCATTAATTGTACAGTATCTATGCTGGCGTGTTGAAGATGGTGCAGCATGTGTTTAGACTGTATGATAAAAATGGTTCTTTTTTTACATGGGCTTTTATCAATAGATAAAGCTAATATATAAAAAGAGTTAATATGAAAATATTTCGTACATTTATCTGAAAACAAAAAGCGGTGACAAGAACTGTAATAATAACCTTTGACATTTGAAATCTAAGAAGACAGAGAAAAATGCTTTTAGACTTATTGGAACTCTAACAAAGAGAAGGAAATTATATTGTTTTATTTTTTACTTATAGATAAATTAGCTGATAAAGAGAAACTGGCTATTTTTAAATCTTAATTTCTTTCTGAACAAAAATTACAGTTTGAATAAATATTACAATTTCCTGACTATGACATTTTAAAACTCTTAAATGTTTTATCACTAGAACAACTCAAAAATATGTATTGAACACCTTTGTGCCAGACTGTACATGGCAAACAAACATACAGTATATTAAAAGTGGTGAGAAACGTGGCTAAATAATATAATGAAATTGGTAACATTTAGAATCTTCAGGCAGGTGTTTGTTTTCTTTGTCCTTGCGGTACTTCACATTGAACCCAGAGTATTTACTTAGCTACGTTCCAAGTCCCTACTTCCCTTTTTTTCTTTGAGACAGGGTCTTGCTAAATTCCTAGGCTGGGCTTGAATATGTGATCCTTCTGTCTCACTCTCCCAGAGTGCTGGAATTACATGTGTGAGCCACCATACTTGGCTTAACAAGTTGCGGTTCTTGATTTTTGATTGTATGTGAGACAGTGAAAGTCATGGAGAAGTATGTAAGGTGATTAAATGTTTTCTTTCAGTGATTGGCAGATGGAAATATCCTAATTCTGGGGAAAGTAGAGAAGCAGGTTGGAGGTGAAGGAAAAGGTAGAGAATTAGGATTTAAATACTGAGTTTGTGAGACAGTGGGGTAGATATGGCTCAAAGGCAATTGAATTTATAGGTTTGTAAGTCAAGAGAGTGCCATTTCTAGAGATTGAAAGCATGGAAATTGAGAACTAGTGGTTGAGATTCTACAGAGAGCTCAGTAAAAGAGCTTGAGAGCAACTATAGTGGTCCATAATGAAAGGGGTTTTCATGAGCATATGTATATGTATACTTACACACTTTGCAGCTTGCTTGCTTAATTATACCTTCCTGCAGTGGAAGTTCTGAAGAAATGTGTCATTTTTTTCTGAGTAATT